AGGAAGCGAACAGCAGCAGCAGCAGCAGGACTTCTTGTCTTCTGGACAGCCCCAGAGCCCAACAGGTATGTGGGTTAAATTTCAAATGTGGCTTTTATGGATTTATTGTCAAAGGACTATAGAAATATCTCTTTCCCTGGGTACCTTTTTAGAGGTGCTTGGCACCCTTTTTTATTCAAAATTTGTATATCTTGGAGCTCTTTTAATATTGGTATATACAACTGTCAGTTTTTTTTTTTTATTTTTGCAGCACTGTGATCAAACTCATGACCCTGCACCTGCCGAGCAGGTGCCTATGCCACTGAGCCACCTCCCTGACACACTGTCAGTTGTTTTTTGTTTTTGTTTTTTTGTCAGAACCGGGGATTGAACTCAGGCCCATGCACTTGCCAGGGAAGTGCTTATTCCACTGAGCCATCTCTCCGGCCCTCACACTATCAGTTTTAAAAAGGTGTAAAGGCTATGCATTGTATGGTCATACGTAAATTGTACTATTTAACCCAAGTCTCTACTGATAGACATTTAGATCAATCTAGTCTTACTACAACATTGCGGGAGTCAGTTGTCATGGTGCACACATGTAATCCCAGCACTCGGTAAGCTGAGGCAGAAGCATCGTCACAGATTCAAGCCAGCCTGGGCCACACAGCGAGTTCAAGACCAACCTGAAGTACACAGTGAGATCCTGTGTCAAAAGTGAATCTTTTCTTTTAGTAATGAATACTTTGGGTCACACATTTGTGCTCACATTTTCAAAGCTTATAGGTTTAAGAGCCTGCTTAAGCAAAGGCAGTCAGGCGCCGGATGCCGTGGCTCGCTCCCCAGATCCTCATGCCCTCAAGGCATCCTGAGCTAGCCAAAAGAAAAAAAAGTCCTTCAAAGCTTATAGAATTTCTAAAAACTGAATCAGTGGATCAAAATGTAAATAGTAGACTGTACTTTCCAAAATGATCACAAAAACATCTTCCATCTCATTCTTTTTTATAATTTGTCTTTGCCACCTCTCCAGGATGAGATGGAATTTTTTTTTTTTTTTTTTAACTAAGGATTGAACTCAGGCCCTTGCACTTGCCAGGGAAGAGCTTATTCCACTGAGCCATCTCCCTGGCCCCAAAAGAATTTTTTTTTTAAATGTATGCTTGGATTCATAATGATCCTGTTTTCTGCCTCCCCAGCACCGGGATTACAGGCATGGACCACCACTGCCGGACCCTGTGGCCAGCTCAGTGCACTCAGGGGCAGGGCTGGGCAATATGTGGCGCCTTGGATCAAACCCTGGTCCCTACTCTTGCCTAAGCAGGCACTTAACCCGCTGAGCTATCTCGTCAGCCCTGTAATGTATTGCTTTTGAATATATCCAGCCAAGGGTGATAGTCATTGTGTTCATCAGTAGAATACAAAATATAGCAAAAGTAATCTTGGTACAGTTTTGAGCATGACTGGACTGGCACTTGCCAGGGAAAAGTCTTTTTAGTTCTATAACTACTCTGCACTACTACCTTATGTGGTGAGAAATACAAGCCACTTGGAGAGGCCCAGAAGTGCTGCCTGAGAGAGAAGAGAACGAGGAGAGCACAAGGCATCAGATAGGCTGGCACTCAGGGCCCTCTGGAAGTGACTCCCGGGACTCACCACTCCTGCTCACAGCGGGTGGGCCACGAGGAACCATCCCACCTAGCGCTTCCTCAATTTCTGGCCCTCAAAAACATGAGCAAGATCATTCTAAGCCACTAAGTTTTGGGGTAGCTGGTTACATATAATAGATTGCTGAAACAGGGCATGTAAACTGTCAGTTTTGACTAATAGTGACAAATAGAAGAGGTCATACCAGTTACCTTCCTGGCAGAAATGTGTGTGTGTCTATTTTCCTGCATCCTCCATAACACAGTGCATTCATTGTCAAACTTGTTGGGATCTCAAATCTGGAAGGTGTAAATGGTACCTCATTGTTTTTCTTTCATCATAAATGAGGTTGAGCCTGGCATGGTGGCACAAGCATGCCTGTAACCCTAGCACTCAGAAGGGTGAGGCAGGAGGATTGCTGAGTTTGAGACCAGCCTGGGCTACAAAGTGAGCTCAAGGCCAGCCTGAGCTACATAGCAAGACCCTGTCTCAAAAAGAAAAGACATTAAAAAAAAAAGAAAAGACATTGCATATCATTGTGTGGATTCAAAAGCTATTTATATGGGCTGGTGAGATGGCTCAGTGGTCTAAAGCACCTACTTAGAACAAGCTTAGCAAAGCACAGGGACCACGGTTCAATCCCCCAGCACCACATGCCAGCCAGCCCCGCCCCCTGGTGGGCTGAGCTGGCCACACACACACACACACACACACACAAATAAAATTTTAAAGAAAGCTATTTATACTAATCTCCATGATGTGTTCGTTTTCATTACACTATCAATTAGATTATTTATGTAAGACTTTATATGTTAAGACAATTAAAGTTTTTTGCTACATTTGGCAGAAATGTTCCCAAGTTTGTTTCTTTTCTTTGTCTGTGCTAGCAGTGGATCTACAGTCCATAGCTAAACCCATAGGTTTATCTTTCCTTTGGCACCAGCTACATAGCTGTTGCAATAATTCAGAGGCTATAAATGTACTGGTTAAAGGACAATAGAGGCCATAAATTGTTCAACAAGAATTATGTTTTCCGTTTTGGACATCCAGCAAAGCACAAAACATTGTTCAGACCAGATGTCTAGTTAAAGTACAAATGCTCCCTTAGGGGTATTTTATTTGCATTTCAATTAGGCACTGAATTCACTACTGTTGTCCAAAGATAGGGCTTTGTATAGGAAGAAGCCACAAGCAGAAGTGTGGAGAGGGTGGATCTTACCTTCACCTGCAGGGCTCCTGAGAGCAAAGGCCTCTGAGCAAGACAGGCCTGGGATCAAACCAGCCTTTCCTTCCGACCAGCGTTCCTAGGACCCCTTACTCTTCGGTACGCATATATCACCTTTGCCCCAATAGCCTCTGCTTGCTTTGGTCATAATAACTAATAACTCAACTTTCCTCCTCCTGCCACCTCCCAGGCGCAGGGCAGGGACCATGACATCTTCCTCATCTATCCTCACTCAAATGCTAACCACACATCCTTGGACAAAAAAAATACCTACGACAGGTGGATACAGGCCTCTCCCCTCTGCTCCCCACTCCGGGAGCCCCCATGTTGCTCTTCTCGTCTCCTGGGAGCCAAGACGAGCTGTACCCCTTAGGGTTCTCCACAACCTTAGACTCCTAGTGGGGCAACAGCCTCCTCAGGCTATCAGTGTCCAGACTGTCGCTTTTGTTTCAGACCCTACAAAGGGGATGAGAGGATCTCCCAAAACCCCTCTCCTAGGTGTTCTTATGTTGAAGATAACTCTCCCAGAGTCCTATTTGCTGAGAAGTCACCTGCTCATCATTTTCAATAAAAGAACAATTTTACTCTAGAATTGGCGTGGGGCAGTCTGCCATATCCATTTGGGAATTTTGGTTGTCAGTTCTGGAGACAGTCTACGCATACCTCTCTGATCTTCACCTAGAAAACCTTCGGGATCGTAACCCATCAGTCACACAGAGCAGACCTGGCTCAAAAACATAGGGTATGTGTGTCCAGCACCCATCATTATCCATTCATGGTACTTTGGGGACCTTATGTGAACACACATGCAGGCGTACGCACGTGCATGCACGCGCGCGCACGCACGCACACACACACACATTTTTCTATGTCAAAGGAAATGTGATGAGAAGACAGAACAAAACAACAAGCTATCGAGTTACTCCTTGCTTTTCTGGCCGATCATCAAGCAAGATGAAGGGGAAAGTGTAAAACGTTAGGCGGGCACCACCAAAGAAATTCTGGGGCACAGGGTGACCAACAACAGTTACCCGAAAGTGGCTGAGATGGACTCCCAGATGGGCTCACTGCCTACCCAGGGTCACTCTTGCTGGGGTGAGAGGTCTCCTGGAGGGGTAAATCTTTGGGGGATAAAGCCCTTCCTCCTACACTGAAAGCCAGCGGTGCCACAGTGCACACCCAAGAGGGAACCTTGAGGTAACACAGCAAGGCAGAGACCAGCACCTCTCCCGCCGTCCCAGGAAGCCTGTAACCCCACCCCCACCCCCAGCATCCTTCCAAGAGCGGGGAGCAAGGGCAGCTGGCTGCAATTGCTTGGGCCTGAGAAGTTTATAAGGCAGAACCAAGGTATGCTTGAAGGCTGTGGTGCAGTGTTCGGAGGAAAATCAAGCTTCATCTGGGAGCTACTTTTCCCTGAGAGACGCAACCGCCTGGCAGGAGGGTGAGAGGGCAAGAGGGCGAGAGGGCAAAAGGGCTCTCTCTCCAGCCCCTCTGCCCTTTGATGAGGCCGGAAACCTCTAAAGCATTTCACACAATGATAACACTAGAAGCTGGGGAAACAGAACAAAGCTGCGCAGGGGAACAGGGCAAGTGAGTTCCCGGCTCAAAGTCATAAATGTTTGCTACAAAATGAAAACAAGATTTCCTTGATAAATATCAAATCAAAGGCAAGAAAATGTGGAGCCTGGTTGTTGTTCCTACTCCTATCCAAAGAAGGGTTGGCCTGGCTCCTTCTTTTCTCTTTATTTATGTATTTGGTACAAGGTCTCACTAAGCAGCTTGGACTCAGTGATCCTCCTGTTTTCAGCCTCTCCAGTGCTGGGATTACAGGCATGTGCCACCACACCTGGACTCAGTGGCTGGCTCAGTGTACCCGGGGCGGGACCCGCACAGCATGTGGTGCCAGGGATCGAACCCCGGTCCCTGCCCTTGCCTAAGCAGGTACTTGTCCGCTGAGCTATGTCGCTGGTCCTGGATCCTCTTTTACTTTTCACACCAATGTGACTCAAAACCTTCAGCTAATGTGAAGCCCGGTGGCCTGCCTGGAGGTGCCCACCCAATCACTGCTTCCAAAGGGCGGTCTGAAGTTTCCTTTTCTCTTTCCTCCCCCACTGGCAGGTGACCCTAAGGACCCAGGGTCATGCTGAGTTACCTGCCTGAGCCTGGCTTCACCTCCTGGGTGAAGCCACCAACACTGAGCTAAAGCGGCGCTCTGTTCCTGCCGCAGCCTGATCCTCACTACTGAATCTGGGATGTCGGTTGCTGATCTGCTCCACTGCGCTGAGAGCCAGCGCTTCGCAAGGTCGCAGCTGGCGAGGGACTGGGCTCCAAAGAAACAGCGGTGATTGCGGAGTGAGAGCACGTGGGGCCCAGCCGCACCGAACGCAGTGCAGCCGTGAGCCCACGCGGGGAGCGGCGTCGGCCGGGGCCTTGGCCTCAAGCCTGGCGGTCAGCACTTTGCCGGCAGCACTTGAGGCCGAGAGCTACATCAAATGGAGTAGGAGCTCGCGCTTCAGCAGCCGCGAATCCGGGAGTCCGTGAACCCATCGACCCACATTCAGGGGGAGAGGCAGAAAACACCATGTCCTAGAAGCCGGAGAGGAAGCCACAGCGATTTCCTTCCGCCCTGAGTCACCGCCAGCCAGTCTCTGTCCTGGCATCAGCTGCCACTGAGGGAGGCTGCTGCCTGTGCTGTGGGCCGACTCACCGGCAGCCCTGACTGGGAGAAATCATATTATTTATGTACTTATTTATTTTTACTACTAGTACATCATTAATTAGTGGCACTAAAAATGGCACATGCCCCGAGGGGAGCGAACGTCTACAGCAACCTTTGATCCTGCACTGTTCGTTTCCTTCCAATTGCTCAATTCTTTCACTACCTTCTTTCTTTGGTGTTTTGAGCAAAAAGATGTAACCAGACCTGAAGGCTTAGGTCACACACCCAGGCTGCAGTGGTGGGAAGTCTAGGAAGCTGTCACTGTGAAGGAAACCACGGATTTTTGAGAGTTCACGTGGATTTCCAAGTTCTCTTCACTGGCTTTGGGACTGGATTAATAACCTTTATTACCAGGACTGCGGATGTAGCTCAGGGGCACAGCACCTGCCTGGCAAGCTCAAGGTCCTGAGTTCGATTCTTAGTACCAAAAATAATTTTAAAAAATATTTTATTACTGATGGTGCTAGGTACTAGTTTGTTGCTGTTCCGTGAAGAAGGATGCCTTTCAAAAGTTGGTATGTGCCAGAAAGGGATTAGAAATACAGCAGACTGCAACCCTTTGATCTTCCTGGAGAGGTAAGGGCTTCGTCTAAATTTTTAATAATTAGTAGACTTCAGTTCACCTTCTTGGCAGACTTTATAGCCACATAACCTACATCAATATGAGCGTCTGGGGAAATGGCTCCCACATAAACACGAAATCATAAGACACCTTTGGGTGTGTGGGTGTGTAACTGCTCACCTTAACATGCTGAGCAGTTACAACTCAACAATAAAAAGACAAGCCGCTTCTGACCAGTAGCCGAAGAATCTGAGTAGGAAGAACTTTAAATTTCCCTAAGAAGAGGTACCAATGGCCAGTGGACACATGGCACGCTGCTGCCGGGAGATGCAAATCCACACCGCGGTGAGACAGCGCCTCTCGCTAGGATGGATTCAAAATCAGATTAGCAGTGGTGAGAAGAACGCACGGAATGGAATCGCGCCGCCCTGCTGGCAAGAGTGAGCAGTACCTGTAACAGCCCGAGAGTGGGGGCAACCTCAGGGGCCTGAGCAATGAATACCGAGCGAAGATCCGTCCAGCCGCCCACGAAACGATCCGATATGAAGAGAAGAGACACGCTGAGGTGCTGCCACGCAGCGAGCATTACATAAGCGTGGGAAACGGCAGGACGGCACGCTGGGTTATGGCATGTGTATGAAATGCGCACAACAGACCCCCGCGGGAAGAAAGCCGCGGGAAGGTGGGGAGGAGGAAGGGACGCGGCGGCTGGATTGCGCTCTCGAGGTCAGAGACGCGATCCGGAATGCCACCGTGCGCACCAGAGCGGCCTGAGAACTAAACGGAAAATTGTCTCGGACATCTCTGCGAGGTGGATTGAGGGTGTGCGGGCTGCTCGGTGGGCGTCCGTCCACGCGCACATACGTCGACGCAGGCATGCACTCAACGGTTGTCCCAGACACCGGCCCAGGCCCGCGCGGGAGCAAAGCGAGAGCCGGCTTCGCGGGCCCTGAGGCGGCCCTCGGAGTGCGTGTCAGCAAAGGCGGCGGCAGGCCGGCCCGCGTCCCGCCCCGGCGCAGCAGTCCCCAGCGCCGCCGGCCCGCGCGCGCAACGCTGTCTTAGGATTTCGGGTTTATGTGGGAGCCATTTCCCCAGACGCTCATACGGATGCAGGTTATGTGGCTATAAAGTCTGCCAAGGAGGTGAACTGAAGTCTACTAATTATTAAAAAATTAAGCTTTCCCTGCGCCTGCGGGACCTCTCCGGACCAAAACTCAGCAATGCTGCATGAGTGAAAAAATTAAGTCTTTACCACAAACATAAAAGGATTCTGTCCCTGTTGTTAACCAATTTGATTGAATCAGAATGAGAATACCCAAGGTATTCTCAGCACCTAAAAGTCAAGGCGCATCCCAATGCTGACATCAGTGTGTATCTCTGGGGTCACTGACAGGACCGTGATATGCTAATTAACTTATATGGAATGTGTGTACTTTAGAAGTTTCATGAGCTCGACCCTGGGGCAATGTCAGCCAGGAGTTTAGACTCAAATTATATGAGAGAAGGACTGTTGTATTGTTCGGCAGAAATAGAAGGTGATCAGCCACATAGTTTTAAAATCTAATAGCCACATTTAAAGAGTAAAGGACTGAATAATCAATGGGCGTGGCGGTGCACACCTGTCACCCCAGCACTCCAGAGGCTGAGGCAGGAGGATCACAATTCAAACCCAGTCTGGGTTTTATAGAGAGTTGGATTTTTAAAAATCATTTATTGATTAATTGATTTGGTACAGGGCCTCAGACTCGGCTCAGACTTGCAGTGATCCTCCTCTGTCACCCTCCCCAGTGCTGGGGTTACAAGTGTGTGCCACCATGCCTGGTTTTGGTGGCCAGCTCAGCATGTCCAGGGGTGGGGCTGGCATGGCATGCAGTACTGGGGATCACACCGGGCAAGAGCTTAGACTGCCAAACTATCTGTTCAGCCCTATTTAGTGAGTTTAAAGCCAGTGTGAACTACACAGCAAGACCCAATGCAAAAGAAAAAAGAAAAGCAAATAAGAACAAAAACTACAGAAATAGAAAAAAGAAACAAAACCAAAGAAAAGGTAAAGGGCTAGAGGATAGCTCAGTGGCAGAGGGTGTGGCTAGCGTGTACAAAGCCTGGGGTTCCATCCTAGCACTACCACCAAAAAATAAAAAGTAAAAGGAGGGGTTGGGGAGATGGCTCAGTAGAATAAGCACTTGCCTGGCAAGCACAAGGGCCTGAATTCAATCCCTTGTTCTACCAAAAAAAAAAAAAGTAAAAGGAAATGAATAAAATTAATTTCAATATTAAACATATGGGCATATTTAATAGATCTATATGTTTTCATTTCTGTATGAAATCAACATAATCAACAGAGATAATTTATATTCTTTATGATTCATGAGTCTCCCAAAGTCACTTGAAATCTGGCTGTATTTTGTATTTCTAGATCATCTCCAACTTTGTCCACATTTTAACCACTCAGTTGCTGCATGTGGCTGCTGACTACTGAACCGAGCGTGCAGGGTCAGAGCTGTGTAATGGGAACAGGAATAGCTATGGCACTGGGGGCTGCCCCGCAGCTCAGTTCTTGAAGTGGCTGCTTCAACAAAGCAGTCAGGCTCAGGTTGCTGTGGTTCGATCCCCACAACTCAAGCCAGCCAAACCTTCCCTGAAGGCATTGGGAGCCAGCCCCCCCCAAAAAAAAAAAAATCCTAGTTATGGTACTGACAATAAAAGCATCAACAAGGCTGGGCAGATAACTCAGTGGCATAAACTCCTGCCTGGCAAGCGCCAGGTCCTGAGCTCAATCCCTGGTAGAAATAAATAAGTAACATGAGAATCTAGTTGGCAATTGTCTCTCTAAGCTCTTAGATGTATTAGCTCACATAATACTCCAATGAGAATTATTATTATCCCATTTTACAGAAGACAAAACTGAGTTTCGAGATGGTTCCAAAGGTCAAGCTGATGACTCTTCTGCAAACCTCCCTGGCGCCCACTACCGCTGACCCTGTGACTGTGAGAAGCTGCAGTAAGGCAGCCCTGTGCTGCTGGGTGGTTTGTGCTCCAGTGCCCGGCTGTTGGCTGCAGATGGATCTGATAAGGTGGAGTCCTGAACCGCTCAGGTCCAGGAAGTGGCCAGCACTGCTTCTAGGCTCAGCATACTGCCAGGAATCCTTCGTCGCCCCAGCCCTGCTGCATCGATTTGCAAATATTTCACAAAGCAGCTGCGGTCAAGGGCAGGGGCACAGCGGGAGCTTGTGGTACTGTCCATTCCCCAGTTGCACAAAAAACCCCTGCAAGTTTCCAGCCCAGATTTTCCTGGAGAACGATGCAACGGAAGCTGGAACAGGAATGCTTCCTTCTGAGTCATAAACTCCTAAACCTGCTTATCCTGTTTCTAAAAAGTATGATCAAACTCAATTTTTTAACACTGAGACAAAGTTTAGATCACTTGTTGACAAGTGGCGTGAAGTTGCTAGGTGCCACTATGGAATGCGCTCTTTCCATGTTGTGTAGTACGCACATTAGAAAGAGTCCACATACGGATGCTCCTGCTTCCTGTAGAAGTGCTCCTGCTGAGGTCGGGAGATGGCTCAGTGGAATAAGCGCTTGCCTGGCAAGCGCAGGGGCCTGAGTTCAATCCCCGGTTCCACCAAAATAAAAAAAAATAAAAAAATAGAAGTGCTCTTGTTTTCCTTACTTGAAGGACCAGGCAGGGATAGCAGGGAGCAGAAGTTTAGAGACATGCAAGATGAGCGCTGTGTGGAACTGGACGTAGCTCACAGGAGGTCCTGGGTGCAGCCCACAGTACTGGAAAGCACAGGAGACACAGTACTGCTGCGCTCTGCGGGTCCCACGGGGATGGCATTGTGCCGGCCGCTTTCGCATTTGCTCTAAGTAGAGGTCTCAACCGGATCCTATAGCCCACTTACAGAAGGGCCAGAGAGCTCAGCGTTGCTCTCTCCTAACTTCAGAGCGAAAGAACAAACAGAGCCCTGGAAGGAAGGAGTGGATGGACGGTGGGCGCAGCTGTAGAGCTGGAGTTAGGTGGCAAGACAGTGGGGTCAAGAAAACCCGAACCCTGTGCCTGCCGGGGTTGGCGATGGGGGCCAGGGATGCTCCGGAACGGAAGACGCCTGCACCCTCGGAGGCAGAAGGGCAGCGAGACAGGAAGTGGGTATTTCAGTCTGCAGGTGGAGCCTTTGCTCTCCGTTCCAAGTGGCCAGAACTGACCCTGTTAGAGGTTCGCAGCCAGGAAGCCCAGCTCGGAGGCTGGGGAAGAGGCCCAGCACTGAAAAAAAGAGATCACCGCAGATTTCTAAGTAAAAATCTCTTAGCCCCGCGCAGCTAAATGATGGATGACCTTTGCCGTCTTGCTCCCATCAGAAGATCGGATGATTCTTCAGTGGAAAAGTCCAACGAAGCCAGGAGGAGCTCCAGGATGGCCCACTTGTTATCCTTGCTGCCCTCTCAGCAGAGCTTTGACGGCTCTGGAGGGCCTCGAAATTACAGATGGACCTCAAGAGTCTTGTGCAGTGTCTCCAACATGACAGCCAAAGACCGAGACAAGCAGAAACAAAGCAACGCATGATGCATGCCTGTAATCCCAGTGTTTTGGGGCCGGTGAGATAGCTCAGCGGAATAAGCGCCTGCTTAGACAAGCCCAGGGACAGGGGTTCAATCCCTGGCACCACATGTCGCACTGGCCTTGCCCTTGGTGCGCTGAGTAGGCCACTAAGACTGGGTGTGGTGGTGCTCAACTGTAAGTAATCCCATCACTTGGAAGGCTGAAAACAGGAGGATTACTACGAGTTGGAGCTGCATAGTGAGACCTGTACCAAATACATTAAAAAAAAAAAAAAAAAATTCCAGCATTTGGGAGGCTGAAGGAGGAGGATTTCTGTGAGTTCAAGAACAGCCTAAATTACATGGTGAGACTCTGTCCCTCCAAAAAATGAAATAAATAAAAATAAATAATAGGATAAGAAGAATATATGCAGTGTGTTATTTGTTGAAACTGTACTTCTGATTTGATTTGAAACTGTCTCATTGCTATATGTTTACCCATAAAATTTTGAAAAAAAAATAATAAATAATAGGAGCCGGGGAGATGGCTCAGTAGATTAAGCACTTGCCTGGCAAGCACAAGGGTCTAAGTTCAATCCCTGGGTCTGCAAAATAAATAAATAAATAAATAATAATAACTCAACCATTTCAGGCCTTGATTAAACATTCCCAATGTCTTGTTGTTACGATTCGAGGCAAGGTCTTACTGGGTAGTCCAAGCTGGCCTCAAATTTAGCAACCCTCCTTCCCTGACATCTCCAGGGCTCAAATTACAGGTGTGAGCCACCATGCCCAGCTTTAAAAAGTATTTTATTTTATTTACTTATTTTTTACTTAAAAACATTATTCTTACAGATGCATTAAAACACAGCAGTTGTGCCTACTTGTGGTTTATGATGTGATGGTTCAGTATGTGTATATATTGTATAATGTTTCAATCACAAGTAGTGATTGAACTTGTCTACTCCCACGAACTAACTTTCTTTCTTTCTTTCTTTCTTTCTTTCTTTCTTTCTTTCTTTCTTTCTTTCTTTCTTTCAACAGGGTCTTGCTATGTAGTTCAAGCTGGCCTAGAACTCATTGTGTAGCCCAGCCTGGCCTTGAACTTTCAGAGATCTTTCTGCCTCAGCCTCCCGAGTGCTTGGATCACAGGTGTGCACCACCTCACCTGCTATTTATAATTTCTTAATGGTGAAACAAATATCTTTTGCATAATTAAATCAGAATTCAAAAGCCTTCAAGGTTCAACAGCAGAAGTAAAGTGGTATAAGATGAGAAATTACCGAGCCATTAAGTAAATTCCATTAGGCAATATACAACACTGTTGGTGTTAGGATCGACCTTTCCCTTGGCCCAAGTAGGTGTCCCTGTGGGAAATTTTATCAGTGTCACTTTCCTGGCTGCCCTATTAGGATATAGTTTTGCAAGATGTTTTCACTGAGGGCCTGGATAAAGGACTCACAGGCTTTCTCTGCATGATTTCTCACAACTATACGCAAATCTACAACTATCTCAAGC